TTACATATGTAAATACATAAGAATTATATGAAAAGAAAACAACAGAATTATATGTGATCTGTAAATTCCCCTAATAACTAACAGAACAAGAAACACTTACAATAGACAATGAACATAAAATCTCACCAGATATTAGGATAGTTCACTGGTGCAAGGTGAATCCCGAGACCATATCTGCTGCCATGCAGAGGCTTCTCAATCCTCATAATGCCACGAAGTATTAAATCTTCTGCTGTAGACTTAGTAGCTGGAAGCCAAGCATAACGCACGTTAGCAACACCACGAAAATTTTGCGTTATCTCGATGTGCTTGAGAAAACTACTAAAAAGAAATTTTCCAGATTGATCGAATATAGGAGCTCTTGAGATGCTTACTACTCCCTTCGAATCAACATAAGGATACATTCCAGAGAGAAAGAATCTCTGGACAGAATCAAAAGCAAGTTGGCTATCGACTGCTGCAGCTGCATTTTCCTGATCCATTCTAGAACTTATTGCATTGCATGAAATAGGAAGACAGAGATCATTTTCACCCACCACTTCGCCCATCAAATTCATAGGATCATTTTGTAAAATAAGCTTTGCATGCTTAGTCTGTTTATCCTTATGGTAAGGGTATCCTGAATTTGAGTTTTCTGAAGCGCTAGGAAAGGTATCCAAGCGGGAATTAAGTTCACGAGCACCTTTTGGTACACAAGGTGCACAGAATTCAGAACTTATTTCCGGGAAAAAACATTTTCCATGCTCATCAATCCATGCAAGTGGCTTGCTGAAACCTGTCTTTATATCTATATGTAGCATACGGACAAAGTCAAATAAGAAATGTTGATTCTGACAAGAAACTTCAAAAATTGCCTTCTTCGCTTGGAAGTTATCATGTATCAGACCAATTATATCCGCAGCAAAATCAATCCATTCACTGTCCTTGTAAAATAGAAGCCGATGAGGCAAACCACTTTTCATAAAGTTGCGATAGTTTCTAACAGTACACTTTTCCATAGGAAAATATTCCCCAGCTTTAATCACTTCGCAGCACTTTAAACAAGCACTCTTGCATGGGTTAGTTACAAGTCCATGGTCATTGTCAGAGAAGTGAGGAGCAGAAGGCATTCTATTCTGCTTGGTTTTGTTATAAACAATTTCAACACTACTACTAATGCTTCAAGAATGACTCTTTAATTGCATGTGTTTGCATGTTCCTGCTAATATCCAGAATCTCATGTCTAAGAATGGCTTCAGCTCTGAACAGAAAAAGAATTAGAAGTAGTTGCCAACTATGCGTCAAGCAGTCTATTGAAACAACAAAAAAGCAATATTGGGAAAAGAAATATCATCTGAACAAAAATATATCCAATTAAAAATTTACTATGAAGCCAGCTGACAAAAAAATTAAAGTATCCAAGATGTGAACTCATTCACCCTACAACTATAAACCAACAAAATTAATATTCGATCAACATAAGCTAAATCTATTTGATCAAATACTTCGATGTAAAATGTAAGATAATTTTAGTCAAAAGCCACGACCTCTAGATAGAATCAAAACATCAAGATGTTATCTGTGGAAACCGTATCTGGCAAGAAGTAAATTATATATTCAACCAGAGGATTTGCGCATGTTTGGTTTGAATAATTGGAAGGAAAGCTAGCAAATTTTACCTAATAATTTTATAATGGATTTTGATTCCCATGGAATTAATAGATAATTGGATTTACTTAAGAAAGGTGAAAAAAATCATTTTAAATTGAAAACAATAATATAAAATATTATCGCTCTGACTCACATGCCACTCATCACAAGAAACATTTTCATCAACCAACTAAGAAAAAAAA